GTGATTTGTCCATGGGGGACCTACAGGACCCCTTCCTTGTGTCCATTCACATCATCGCAGACCCAGGTCAAGCCAGGACACTTCAACGCGCCGCTGACCAAGTCCTGTCCTGGCTCCACCCGGAGCTCACTCTCTTCAGAGTGTCAGAGCGCGCGGCCGGGCTGCCAAGGAGGTCCAAGCTCCGGCCGGACACTCCCTCGCCCCAGCCTGCCTTGGCCGTCATCCTCTTCCTGCAGGAGGAGTACGGCGGCGAGGAGAGCCAGGAGCGCCTCCACGGTCAGCTGAGACGACCACCGTGGCGCTACCACCACACCGAGCGAGTGAACGGCCGTGGCCTTTTGCCTCTTTCGTCTGCCAGCCAGGACTTCTTCACTCTGGCCCCCGGCACGCCGCTGTGGGCCCTCCGGCAGGTCCACTACGGCAAGGAAATCGTCCGCTTCACCATATACTGTCGGCACGAAACCTACAGCGAGCAGGTGCAGCTGTACAGGCTGCTGCTGCGCCGCAGGCTAGCCCAGAGGAAGGAGGACTTCTGCTTCTGCGTGGTCTACTCCAACCGCGACACGGAAATCCAGCTGTCCTTCAAACGGCTGCCGCGGGGACAGAAACCCACCCCCACAGAATGCGCCATAATGGAGATACGTGTGAGGGACGTGGGGGGGCTTGTACCGCTGCTGCCGCATCCCTGTACGCCCATCAGCGACATACGCTGGCAGACAGAGGACTACGATGGGAACAGGATACTGCTGCAGGTGAGAGTGTGTGTGAGTTTGTGTTTTTGTAGCGGTTTAGGAGCTTTTTGAGAGAAGTATTTTCCACCTTTAACTGAGCTGTAAGTGATCCTAGGAGTTCTCAGTAAACCTGCTTCAGCTGAGCCACGCTGGGCCACGCTGAGCCACGCTGGGCCACGCTGAGCCACGCTGGGCCACGCTGGGCCACGCTGGGCCACGCTGGGCCAATCTGGGCCATTCTGAGATTTAAGTATCATTAACAAGAGCTTGTAGTCAGTGTTGAAATGAACAGGAATCCAGTGTAAACTAAAGGCCTTTTCACACTGACTCACTTTTACACGCCGTGTTGTCTGTCTGCTGACTCTCTCTCCATAGCGCCGCTGATGCTTCAGTGTCAGTACATGTTTGTTTATCAGCTGTTCTTCTGTAGAGTCTCTGTTCTAGTGCGGTTCTGCGCTCTTCCTCACAGTAACTGAGATCTTCCTCGTCTCCTCTTCTGTAGAGTCTCTGTTCTAGTGCGGTTCTGCGCTCTTCCTCACAGTAACTGAGATCTTCCTCGGCTCCTCTTCTGTCTTCAGTGTGAGAAATGAGGAACAGTCACTCTTCACTCCAAACTCTTGGGAAACTGGGCGAGTTTTCAGATTTACAGATCTGCTGCAGCTCATTGTAAAGTGTTTCAGAGGAATCCGGGCAGAGTTACAGTTTCTAGACTATGAAGGACCAACTGGGTGAACCAGTCTGCTACAGCGCCACCCTGAGGCAGAGCAGTGCTGCAGCTCTAGTTAGTTAAGATCACCAAGACAGAAGCTGATTGTGGGGGAAGCAGATAAATAATGAGCTTCACTGAGTCTGGATTTGAGAGTCTGATTTTCTCTAATGAACAGCTTAATGTCATAATAAATTTATTTACTGGGGCCCCAGAAATTAGATTTTGAGATATTCACGGGGTCCAAGAAAGTAAATAGGGGGTCCTGGACACACCTTGGTTGTTTATATGCATTAAAAATGAGGCCTCTTCTTTTATTTGATCAAACTCTGTTTGAAATTAACAGTCGGACTGTTACTGTGAGCTCAGCAGTCGAGGGGTTGATAATGTTTTTAGTGAATTTAGCTTTAGCTTTTCGTAACACCGTACTGAAGAGGCATCAGAATCTACTTCACTCGGCTCTTTCAAACGGGATGTGCTCTGGATGTCAAACATTAAAAATCAATGATTCTAAAAATATGTGACTGAATGTTCATCAACCAAAGTCATATTATAAAAACCTCAAATGGCATTAAAACATAAAAAACTCGACTTCACTGGGACTCAAATGACAAACTAGCATCCAGGTTTACACCAAAGTCCTTAACTGGAACTTTGGTTGCACAGAAAAACACTGAGGTCAAAGAAACACACACAGGCAGACTGAGGACCCAACAGCACTAGATAGTATTTGCAGAACCCAGACGGAGCATCCGTAAAAAAGCGGCCATGTTGTTGACATTGCGTCAATGTAGTGTGAATGAGCGGTCACTGCTGGCTGTGGTCTTCAAATCAAGATACTGAGGAAAAGGTCAGTTTGATCTGAGGTGTCCATCTGTACCAGCTTATCTCTGAGTCCCTATAATTAGCGATATTCTGTCTTTTGGACCATCAGCTACACCGTCAAACATCGTTATGATGGGTTTAGTCAGTGTTGCTTGAGATTTAGTCTTGATGTTACTAAATCTCAAGCCCTGCTGACCCTCTGGCCCTGCTGACTCTCTGGCCCTGCTGACTCTCTGGCCCTGCTGACTCTCTGGCCCTGCTGACTCTCTGGCGCTCTCTCCACTGCACTCAGAAACCGATCACAAGAGTTAGTGAACTTGTGGCAAATGTAAATAAGTTTGCCTGTGACTGAAACTTACCTAATAGCGTGTAAAACCTCCACAAGCACGAATAACAGCTGCGATTCGATTTGGCCTGGACGAGTTTGAATCCTGTAACACACCCCGCAGGTATTTATAGCCTGATCATCCTCGTGCAGCGCCATCTGCAGGAGCCTGACGTTACTGCCACCTTGCAGGGAGCTTATATATGTATATATGTCCTCATGAGATGGGGAGACTGATCCTCAGCTTGTGATGATAACTTCAAGAAGCTGCTTAGGATCTGCTGGCAGGTAGAGAAGAGGAAGATTTCATCAGAAAGAAGAGCGAAAGGGATGAAATCCTAGGGAGCAAAATTTAATGGTCATTATGTTACAAAAATATCAAAAAATAAAAAACCTTGTAGCTGAACAGCCCACACTACAGCCGACATGGCTTATCCTCACACTGAGCTTTAAACAAACACACACACACACACACACACACACACACACACACACACACACACACAGGTCATTTCTATCTGACCTGGATTAGCTCAGATCAAATCAGAGAGAGGCAGTTCTTATTGCCAAGACAACAGGCTCATTACCCAGAACCCCTGCTGCCAACTGGCACCCTGGGGGTCACACACACACACAGACACACACACACACACACACACACACACACACACACACACACACACTCTGTGAAGAAAGCAAAACAAAGCTGAACATTGATGCGCTGAACATGTAGAGCCTTTTAATCCAACACAGTAAATCTGATTCAGTCTGTTTCTCCACGTCTGTTCAATGACAGTGTAACTGGCGTTCGCGGTGGCTTGTGTGTTTTTGTAGCAGTCCCACCGAACGACCATTAACCCCTTATTCTGCGTTGTGTTCAAGGAGTACTGCGACGACTGAATGAAGGACTCGGACCACAGTTGCTGCTGGTTGCTGGTTCTTTTTATAGTTGCTGTATGAACATAAAAATATAACAGTGAAAGCTCTGCAGACAATGTTTAGCTTAGGAGTGAACATTCACGCTGCTCTCGCTCTCTCTCTCTCTCTCCAGTACAGGCCCCCTTCTCTCAGTTCGCATTTCGCAGACTGAAGGCGCTGCCTTTGCATTCATGCAAAAATGACTTTAACATAGACTTGGAAATAAAATACAAGATGCAAATATTCGTCACAAAAGTATCTAAAACCAGCTTAATAAGTAAATATAACCCAAAAACACTGCAACACAATACATGAATGCTGTGAACAGAAAGTACTGGGGAAACTACATACCTGTATGAACATAAAAATATAACAGTGAAAGCTCTGCAGACAATGTTTAGCTTAGGAGTGAACATTCACGCTGCTCTCGCTCTCTCTCTCTCTCTCCAGTACAGGCCCCCTTCTCTCAGTTCGCATTTCGCAGACTGAAGGCGCTGCAGCTGAGGCACAGCAATACCGTGACTCTTAAAGTGACGGTACATAATTAACAAAAACTTCAAAATAAATGATTCCCCAGTACAGATACGTAAAATATGTAACATGAAAACAAATAATTCAGAAAAATAGGATTTTGGTGGAATTTTAACAAAAAAAACAAAGATATATTTTAACCTCGTTACATTCACCCCTCCTAAAATTCACCAACATCCTGATTGGATGAGCTTTGACGACTATAAGGAGGCTAAGTGTCCCATGCTGACCCAAAACTGGAACAAGTGATCAGTTAGACCTAGTCTACATAGTCAACTTAAGAGCTACCTCAAACACAAGGTTCAGGAAAAGAAGAGGTTGATCAAGTCTCTAAATTCCTCTAGACTAATGTGACGCCCTCTTACGCCACACAATACTTGGTCCTAATAAATTCATCACATAGACACTGTTGTAACATGAACTAAGCAAAGCTTCAATGTGTGTTCAACTATCAAAGGAGATTCAAGATCTGCTACCAAATGGAATCTGTGAACCTTTCAGAAATGGTTTCTGAACCACTGATTCTATCAATCTATTTACTGATTTCACTATTCTCCCTGCACGTGTTCTAACGCGACTATCAACCTCAGCAGGTTTGTGTAAATCAGTGAGAGATGAAGTACCATCATGTGCTGTGTCTAGTGTGCCTGAGTGTGGTAAAACAGTGCTAACTTGAGTGCTGTCAGGACAAAGTGCTGGAGTAGATGAAGTAAGCTCTTCAGAATCAATTTTGTCAGTCTTGAGTGAATCCCCAGATGAAGAAACTGTAGACTCCTCTCCATCTCTAGAATCTGACATGTTCTGCACATGGTCTTGAGCTAACACTCCAGACACTGAAGTAGTTTCTTCTTCACTGTCATAAACCTCCTGATCAGACTCTTCACTAACCAATGACTGGTCGTTTCTATCAGCATCTTCAGTCTGATTTACATCAGGAACTGGTAAGAAATTTACTTCCATCAACAAATTCCGGTGAACAACTTTTGTGTGTCCTGCTGCGTCCTGAATTTTGTAGACATGAATGCTAGGAATCGCTTCAACAACAGTGTATAGTACATCCTCCCATTTGTCCGCTAGCTTTCTCTTACCTCGTTCTCCCTTATTTGCCACTAGCACACGGTCTCCCACAGACAAATAAGTGCCCTTGATGCGCTTGTTGTATTGCTGGGCCTGTCGCTGCTGTTCAGCAGTTGAGTGTTTCTGAGCAATCTCCAGAGCACCCTTGAGACTGGAAAGCAGCGACTTTGCATATGAGTTGTAATCAACAACTTCGGGAGTGTTCAAAACTTGCTTGAACATGATGTCTACCGGCAGCCTAGGGACACGCCCAAACATCAGAAAGAAGGGCGCGTATCCCGTAGTCTCATGGACTGTGGCATTGTAGGCGAAGGTGAGGGTCTGGATTTGCTGTGGCCATTTGTCTTTTGCCTTAAGGGGAAGAGTACGGAGCATGTTACCCAACGTGCGATTGAAGCGTTCTGTGCACCCATTGCCCATAGGGTGGTAAGCTGTTGTATGAGATTTCTCAACACCAGCTAGATGGAGAAGTTCTGCTATTAATTTGCTCTCGAAATTTGTGCCCTGGTCGGAGTGTATCCTCTCCGGAAATCCATACACACAGAATATGTTATCCCAAAGTTTCTTGGCAACCTGCTTTGCTGTCTGATTGGCACAAGGGAAGGCATGAGCTAGCTTGGTGAAGTGGTCAGTGACCACAAGAACATCCACTGCTCGCTGTTTGCTATCCTCCGCTGACCAAAAATCTATACAAACTAACTCCATCGGGGCTGAACTTTTGATACTCTCCAAAGGCGCACGGGCAGCTGGCTCCGGTGATTCCCAAAGACACACCTCCGACAACACTTAACATATTCTCTGATGTCTCTCTCCATATCAGGCCAATAAAAACGCTGTCTTGCAAGGGATAGAGTACGGTCTTGACCCTGATGGCCAGCCAAATCGTGTATGCCTGACAATGCTCTGTCCTTGAGATTCTTAGGTAGCACATATTGGAATCTTTTCTGCTTGGATGAAGGATCTTTTGTTATTCTGTACAAAACACTGTCTTGAACACGTAAC